ATTTCAATAAGTTTTATATTTGAAAATCAACAAATACAATTAGCAGCCCCACTGTATATACACACAATATATTAATATTCGGGGTCAGTATGACTTTTGTGTTCACCAAGGCTGCATTTATTTGATCAAAAATACAGTTAAAAACAGTAATAATGCTTAAAATTATGTCAATTTTAATGTGACAATTAAGCTGATTTTTTTCTGTAATAGTGAGTATTCAATTACAAAAAATTCAAAATTATTACTTTCAATTCTCTGATTGTATCAAAATGATCCCTTCCATGATTTTAGGCGTCACTAGTTGACAGTGGCACATGCTTGGCTTCATTTAGGCCCTTGGTGAAAGTTGCCCACTCGTTGTTCTCTCTCAAGCTCTCGTGGTGAGGACATATTAATGCTGTTATTCGTGTGTATCCATGCCAGGCTTCAGATCTACACACGCCACTTAAATGGACTCCATATGTGAAACATCTTGAGCGCAGGAGGCTTCTCTCAAATGACCTTATTCTTCAGGAGTCCCTCACAGATGTCAGCAGGGTTAATACAAACCCTTCGCTCGCTTTTACAGCGCTTACGCACATGGCATCCGGAGCTCATTGTTGGATGTGGTCACTTTATTTGTAGATGTTCACTGGAACTCAATGATTAACTCATCACTTATACTCTAGGGATCGGATTTATTGAAGCGTTAGCATTCACGCTAATCTATGAGCTGTTATTCGTGTGTATCCATGCCAGGCTTCAGATCTACACACGCCACTTAATTGGACTCCATATGTGAAACATCTTGAGCGCAGGAGGCTTCTCTCAAATGACCTTATTCTTCAGGAGTCCCTCACAGATGTCAGCAGGGTTAATACAAACCCTTCGCTCGCTTTTACAGCGCTTACGCACATGGCATCCGGAGCTCATTGTTGGATGTGGTCACTTTATTTGTAGATGTTCACTGGAACTCAATGATTAACTCATCACTTATACTCTAGGGATCGGATTTATTGAAGCGTTAGCATTCACGCTAATCTATGCATGTGGTATTTCTGCCACATGTCCAGTCTTAACCGCAGTAATTCATTGGCTGTCTTAGTCAAACCACACATGCTGAATGTTTGGTTTCAATCAGGCCTGTTTTCTTGATAAATGTTCAGATTGTTTAGTCAGTTGCTCATCATCTGGTTGTTTTGATGCCTTTAAATGACAATGGTTTGCCTTAAGATATTATTGTGATTTAAAAAGTTGTTGGGGATAATGTGAGGCCAGAACAATATGCAAGTTCATGAATAGAGGCACTTCTAGTAATCTCGATTCACATACCACTGCGTTCCTGACTGTGTCAGAGTGCAGTTCATAATGCAACGCCAGGACATCTTGCATTGTCAGCATTGCCACAGTTTTTTTTACCAGTTAAAAAAACAACACATTACAAAGGAAGTCCACAGGGCCAAGATGTAAGCATTACATTTCCGGTTTCAAGAGTAGCGACAGGATAAACATTACATTATACATGTTATAATGAGACTAGTGGGATAAATTACACTACCATTCAAAATTTGGATGTACTTTATGCTCACCAAAGCTGCATTTATTTAATCAAAAATACAGTAAAAACAGTGCTGTTGTGAAATATGATTGCAATTGAAAATATTTGTATATATTTTAATATATTTTAAAATGCATTTTATTCCTATGATGGCTGAAGCTGAATTTTCAGCATCATTACTCCAGTCTTCAGTGTCACATGATCCTTCAGAAATCATTCTGATATGCTGATTGGCTGCTCATTGGAAAACATGATTTTTTAAAGATTTTTTTATTAATAGAGTGTTCAAAAGAACAGTATTTATAAGAAATATTTTGTAACATTATAAATGCCTTCACTGTCACTTTAATGCAGCGATTTATTCCTTGCTGAATAAAAGTACACTGACAAAAATTTGATGTAGAATTTACTTTAATTTTCACTAGAAATTGTGAAATTGTTAATTTCACAAATAATTGCAAAGAAACACATTTAAATAATCATTATATTTTTAAGTAAAAAAGACTGGAATAGTATTTTCTTATAAAATGCACTCCAATAATATTTGCTTTGTTTAACCTTAAAAAATCATGTATTATTATTACTTTCTTTAAAAAAAAAAAATTCCCCCAAATTTTGGAACGGTACTGTTTATTGAGTCTTTCAGCTGCATCACAATAAATAAAACTGATACATTTTGAAATGTCAAATAAACTGTGGACCCCATTGACTTTCATTATATGGATAGAAAAACATCGAAACATTCTTCAAAATGATGACAGATTAAGTTTGTTAAGCAAATTCATGCTTGCTATGCATTGATCATGCACAGTGCTCTGTAATAACTGATTACATGTAATCCGTATTACGTAATCAGATTCCAAAAATGTAGTAGTTGTATTACGTGATGTTGATAATAAAGAATGGGATATATTTGATTTCTCTTTTATAGCAATAATCCCATTCAAATCTATAAACAAGTTACAGATCATAAGTAATCTAAAAGTAATCCAAAAGTAATCGGAATACATTAACTAAAATGAGTAATCTAAATTACATTACTGACTACAATTTTTCCTCATGTACCTTGTAATGAGTAACAGACTACAATTTGTGAGTAATCTACCCAGGACTGATAATGCATTTGCATACTTGTATACAGTATGTATCTGAGATTTCTGGTGTTGTGTAGAGTTGTGTAATACAGATCCGTGAGTAGAGTTTGAACTGGAAGCCAGATGAACTTGTCAGTGCAACATTTCCCAAGGTCAATAAACGTTCATTTAGACAACATCTCATTCTTTCTTCATGCAATGTTTTGCCGTCTTTGTGAAATCTATAGCTGAGGCCTGATGGGAGACTCCAGCCTGAGCGCCGCATGGAAATCTGCTCCACGATTTAGCGGCGTCTCAACCTCAGGGGAAGTGGTTTACTTTGCTTGGCTCCTGTTGAGCTTTGACTGGATGCTGGCCAGCAAGGGGAGTAAAGTTTGCCTCTCGGGTTGCTCCTGCAAACACAGCCCTGGCTTTGATTTCATAGCTCCTTCTCGTTAGCCCTGTTGGGGATCAAATGGAGGTGGTGGTTGGGGGTCCGTGATTTGTTAACCTGTGAATAAATATAAATGCTGATACCACCTTGGAGAAGCCTTGTGTCTACTAAAAGATCAAAGTTAATGCTCACTGTGAGAGTGGTGGAGTCATTCAAACTGACGGATGCATTGCAGACCCTTTCTGCAGGATTTGTAGTGGGTGGGATTAATTCCTCTCAGCTTTAGGCCTTTTCCATGTTGTCTTGTCAACTCTTTGTACAGTTTTTATTCAATATTGTCACTGGTAGACTATATTTTCAACTTGTTAAATTAGGCAAATTGTTAAATTATACCACCCCACTCCACCCCACAATTGTTTTGTTTAGTTTTTTTTTGCTTTATGACATTACTTTCATGATATTTAAGCACATTCTCACTCAATACCATAATACAATTCTATAATTCTCATTACTCTAATGCTAAAAAATAGTTGATTATATAATATTTTTTATTTTATATTGTTATATTTTATTTTAATTATATATTTATTTTAATATTATATATATATATATATATATATATATATATATATACTAATATAGTATTTAAGTCGCTGTAGCAATAGCCAAAAATACATTGTATGGGTCAAAATTATAGGTTTTTCTATAAGTAAATTGTTCCATGAAGATATTTTGTAAATTTACTAACGTAAATATATCAAAACTTAATTTTTGATTAGTAATATGCATTGCTAAGAACTTCCTTTGGACAACTTTAAAGGCGATTTTCTCAATATTTAGATTTTTTGCACCCTCAGATTCCAGATTTTCAAATAGTTGTATCTCGGCTAAATATTGTCCTCCTATCATAACAAACCATACATCAATGGAAAGCTTATTTATTCAAAAGATGATGTATAAATTGACACTTAATACTGGTTTTATGGTCCAGGGTCACACACACACACACACATATATATATATATATATAATGCTAAAAATAGTATTTGGAAAATGTCCTGGCAGAAAATTACAGCACTTTTAATTATTTATTTATTTATTTTATTTATTTATTTTGCATCATAATCACTGCATCATAAAATGCATTTATGGCACTGCATCATAAAAATCTAACAAGAATCAACATTGAAAATATAGAGTTTTACAAAATAAAAACTCGAAAGTACACATATCATGATAATGAATTAACAACAATTTTACAAATGCATTGCAGTCCTAAAAATAGGCATCATTTTCTTGTTGTTTTGGGTTGAAATATGACCTTAATGTGTTTTTTTTTGTTAGTTTTTTATGAGATTCGTCATCAAGATAATTTACTAACAATATAATACACTGCATCATAAAAATCTAACAAGAATCAACATTGAAAATATAGAGTTTTACAAAATAAAAACTCGAAAGTACACATATCATGATAATGAATTAACAACAATTTTACAAATGCATTGCAGTCCTAAAAATAGGCATCATTTTCTTGTTGTTTTGGGTTGAAATATGACCTTAATGTGTTTTTTTTGTTTGTTTTTTATGAGATTCGTCATCAAGATAATTTACTAACAATATAATTGAGCATTAATCATTCTCTCCTCAATTTGGTTTCAATTAACTACATTTTCAGTCAACAGAAGAGGAGAGAAATAGGGAATGAGTTTTTGAGTCCCTCCCACTAAGCTCCCCTGGGTCTGAGGCTCATTGACACATCAGCACAGAGAGAGAGAGAGAGAGTGAGAGAGAGAGACTGGCAGACAGACTGCACAGTAGGTGAGTTTGGAGACTGAGCTGGTGACACAATGGAAAAGACTATGAAGCGAACAGTGAGCTATTAATCCAGCTACTATCAGTGCAGAATGACTACATCAGCAGCACTCAGCCCACCATGAAAGATCACTGCTTCTCTATCTGCACTGCTCCCGCCGGACCACCTTTTCGGGCCAAGCAGCAGAGGCTGGATCCTGAATACATATCCGTGTGTCTCTTACCAGATGAATCCTACCAGAAGCTGGCCGTGGAGACCATGGAGGAGCTAGACTGGTGCCTGGACCAGCTGGAGACCATCCAGACGTACCGCTCCGTCAGTGACATGGCCTCCAACAAGGTGAGATGGCAGCTCGTCTACTCCTACTTTACCTCTGCGTTGCTGCAAACAGCAACGTGCTTTCACAGAAATTCAAATTTCAATACTCTTAGAAATAAAGGTTCTTTATTGGCATCTGTTGTTCCATAAAGAACCTTTAACATCCATGGAATTTTTCCATTGCACAAAAGGTTCTTTATATTAGAAAAAAGGTTCTTTCAGAATCAGAATCAGAATCAGAAGAGCTTTATTGCTGCAAACAGCAGGGCATCTTTATGCATGTTTTCACAGAAATTCAAATTTCAATACTCTTAGAAATAAAGGTTCTTTATTGGCATCTGTTGTTCCATAAAGAACCTTTAACATCCATGGAATTTTTCCATTGCACAAAAGGTTCTTTATATCAGAAAAAAGGTTCTTTCAGAATCAGAATCAGAATCAGAAGAGCTTTATTACCAAGTATGTTTACACACACAAGGAATTTGACTTTACGACAGGAGCTTCCAGTGTAGAAGAAAGTACAAACATAGTGCAGACATACATAGGAATAACACAGTAGGGATGTAATATAAAACTAATATAATAAAAAAAAAAGAAAAATTGAATAATGTACTATCTACAGAAATAGAAGTATAGGAAAAAATGTAATTGTTTAGATAAATGTACAGATATGTTTATTAGTGTGCAGATATGTTATTTACAAAGTGTGCAGTTTAATATAAATATACTATGTTAGTTGTGATGGACGATGTATAATTTGAAAGATTAATTGTTAAGACTGAATATAGCCTGTGCGAAAAAACTGTTCTTGTGCCTGGCTGTTCTGGTGGTCAGTGCTCTGTAGCGCCGACCAGAAGGCAACAGTTCGATGTTCTTTACACTAAGAAAAATGGTTCTTTTAGGAACTGGGGAACCAAAAAAGGTTCTTCTACACTCTTAAAAATAAAGGTGCTTCAAAAGGTTCTTCAAGCGATGCCATAGAAGAACCATTTTTGGTTCCACAAAGAACCATTCAGTCAAAGGTTCTTTAAAGAACCTTTGACTGAATGGTTCTTTGTGGAACCAAAAATGGTTCTTCTATGGCATCGCTTGAAGAACCTTTTGAAGCACCTTTATTTTTAAGAGTGTATGGCATCTCTGCAAAACCCCTCTTATGGAACGTTTATTTTTTATGAATGTATTGCAAACTTTGTTTGTTTGAGAATTTTCTGTTTGTGTTAGAAGAGTAGTTTTTATTGCTTTCACATTCGTCTGTAATTTCAAGGCCTAACAAGTCAAGGTTTTGTTGGAATATCAATGAGATGCAATATGGAGGATTTTACAATCTCTTGTGGCATTCTGCAAATTCTACTTAAAGGGATGGTACACCCAAAAATGATCATTCAGTCATCATTCACGCACCCTCATGTCATTGCAAACCTATTTGGAAGAAGGATTGCAGTCAAACACTTTTGGTTCCCATTGACCTCCATTGTATTTTTATCCATACAATGCAAGTCTATGGAAACCAGAGCTGTTTAGTTAACAACATTCTTCAAAATCTCTTCTTTTGTATCCAGCAGAAGAAAGAAATTCATACAGGTTTGTAATGACATGAGGCCGAGTAAATTACGACAGAATTTTCCTTAAATTAAACTATCGCTTTAAGTATCTTTTATGATGATTTATATCTTATATTCAGAGTTATTAGTTGCTTGTCTTTGACATAGTCATCTTATTACCAGAGTCTGCTGGTGCTGGTTAGTCACAGCTCTCTAATGCAGTTTTGAATCCTGGATTTTGTTTGTGTGTGTGTTGATACATTAATACAGTAAGTGGTTGGTCTTGTAGAACAGTGTCTATGAGGTTAATACGTCATTAATGATGAGATGTTGGCGTGAGATCTAGAGATATTGCCACATTTATATGTCAACAGGAAATCGTGCTATGAGAACTTGATTGATTGCCCGATTGCTACCCAAAGAATTACAGAGGAAACATTGAAAATAATGTACATTAAATATAATATCTTAGTTTATATTCAGTTTGTTGTCTTGATGAAAGGCACCTGGCCCAAACAATTATTTTATCTTATAAGTGATTATTCCAAAATAATGTATTATGGTTGCTTTATTATTTATAGTTGAATATTTCTTTGAACTGGAAAGGCCAGACATAATGAAATTCAGCTACGTTGTGCAAGTCTACAATTCACGTCATAAAGTATTAAAGACAAAAGATTGAGTCTTCTTGTCATGCCTTTGAAGTTCTCTGAGTAGTAACTGAGTGAGTTCCACCCATGTGTGCAGTCAACATGACTAGCGTGGTCTCAGCGCTCTTCTACCTGAGGCTGCAGACAGAAAGAGGGAGGCGCTGTGAGTCGTGAGGGAGGAGGGCACGTCGACAGCGAGGTGACTCACTCAGCACTTTGTCTAATGCATTTCCTGACACCCGTCAAAGTGAGCTCACAGGCACTGCCTTGCCACATGCTCACCAATAGTGCACGAAACACCATCGCTGCAACAATGGGACTATGCTACTCAGAGAAAAGGAGAAAGTTTGGTGTGCTAAAAAGCTGGACAGAGGTGAGTTAGTGCAAGGTTTTGTGGGATTTTTGAACAAATTCTGGCTTTGCTCTGGGTTTTAATGCTGAAGCAACTGATTTCATCTGTGTTATTGGAAATTGGTTGTCCTCTTTTGTTTAAGCGAACAAAAGAGCAATTGGGTTGTTTTGACCCAGCTAGCATTTAACCCAACCGCTGGGTCAAAACAGCCCAATTGCTGGGTTTGTCCCTATTTTACCCAGCACTGGGTTGTATTTAACCCAACATTTTTTAGAGTGTACACTCTAAAAAATGCTGGGTTGTTTTAACCCAACTTTGGGTCAAATATGGACTAACCCAACTTTTGGGTTAAAAATGTAATTGAAAAACAAACCGTTGGGTTAGTCCATATTTGACTCAAAGTTGGGTTTAAACAACCCAGCATTTTTTTAGAGTGTAAGGTTAAATTTAAATAATTGATACTATTAATTTATGTTTGCAAATATACATTTATTTACAATCTTTTAGAATGACATCCTGTACTATAAAATAGATATTATATTTTATAATAATTTATTATGAGGGTTAAATTGAAATAATTAATTGAGACCATTCATTTATTAAAATTATTGAAAAACAATTTCTACTTTTAAAATGGTATCCTGTACTATAAAATGTGTATTATGTTTTATTAAAAAAAATAATTAAAATACATTTAAAAATTTGTCTTTGTTAAATAATTGTTTTTAGTTATATAAGTATTTTTAGATTTGAACTACTAAAACATCTAGACTTGTTTACCTCAGTTCAACAGTGTCTGGTTCTAGTATAATATCAGCTGAAGTGCACTTAAACATTGCATTTATGCATTTAACAGAAGCTTTCATCCAATGCAACTTGCAAGACATATATTTTAGAAATTTTGCATTCCCTGGGCAAAAAAATAAAATTGCTTCATTGAGTAAAAATAGGCTGTTGCAAAACCATGTCTATAGCTTCCCAGTAGAACAACATATTGCGGAAATACAGCTTATAGGAACAGATATGTCACTTGGTATTAAATGTGGAGGATGTGCAGGACTGATTAATAATTTTAGCATTTGTGTGTGAGTTGACTGCATGTTACTTCTGTCTGGCTGGGGGTTTTTTACATGCAAACATTCATGAGAATTTGCTCAGATATAATGATTAAATAAATAAATAAATACTAGAGACCAAAAACCGTAAAGGAATTATAACTAAAGTTGCTTGTAGCAATTGCATATAAATTTAAATAAATAGAAATTGTTGGTTCAGCAAGTAAAAAAGCAGTGGATGTGGAGTGTAAAGACAGGAGAGAGAGAGAAAGATAGACAGAGAGAAGGAGGGTGAAAGGGAGACTGAAAATAACCGAAAGAGAAAAAAGACTCAGTGTTGGAAACACACAGTATGGCAAATGCAGCAGATCCCGTGGAATTCTGTCTGGATCTCTCCCGGCGGTTGCTGTTTATCCGAGCCTGGCTGGGATGTGACAGGGAACGCAGAGGGATGAGATGAGGAGAGACGGTGTGGAGCTGCTGGAGTTAGTGCTGCGCTTTAGTTTGAGCTGAAGCGAGATTAGAGGAGTTCAGGGTTTAGGCTTCTAACAGAAGACTCCAACATGCCTGAAGTCAACTATTTGCTCTCGGTGTCCTGGGGTTACATTAAGGTGTTTGTTTGTGAGAGAGTTATTCACTGGCACACATTATTTGCCATGTATTGGACGTTTAATTTGGATGTTGCTTGAGTTTCTTGCATTGCTTGGTTAAAATATAATACGAGAACTGGCAAATCATGCAATGAGAAGTTTAGAAATATTGATACTGTATAAAGACTTGTCTTGTTTGTGTGTTTTAGTTCAAGAGGATGTTGAATCGGGAACTGACACATCTGTCTGAGATGAGTCGCTCTGGAAACCAGGTGTCTGAGTTCATCTCCAACACATTCTTAGGTGAGTCTGAATATTCTTTTCATTATCTTCATAACTCTTGTACGAAAGCATATTACATGGTGACTGATAGTTCCTTTGTAAACCCTTATTCTAGAAATAGAACATTCATTTTATTGCTTATATGAATAGAATAGAATAGAACCATAGGCGGAGTGTGTGTAAGGCTGGCCACGGGGGCAAAAATGCCACTAAATTGGACAAAAATGCGTTATATAACTATCAATTTCTAATGTTTTAATTAAATTGTAATCACATTAAATACAAATTCAGTGCCACTAAACATATTTTATTAGCCTACATGACACCCATGTCTGGTTCTTGCCTAAAAAGACAGGTTTATGATGTTTGTATTTAATAGATTTGGCTGCTTTTAGCCTTACCATGGTGTTGGTTCACCCTCCGCCTATGAATATAACTTATGAATATTCAATATATACTAAGTATTCAATGTATTTCATGTACTTAAACCCTAGTTAATGTGAGCTCATAAAAGCATAATGCATAATATGGGCTGTTTAAAAGTTTGGGGTCAGTAGTTTTTTTTTTATTATTATTAATTGATACTTTTATTAAGCAAGGATGCAATACATTTTGTTTGTAAAAGTGAAGAGAGTAAAGACACAATATTTATAAGGTTATCAAAGATTTCTATTTAAATAAATGCTGTTCTTTTGAAAAATGTATCACTATTATAACTGTTTTCAACATCGATAATAATAATAAATGTTCCTTGAGCATCAAATCAGCATATTAGAATGATTTCTGAAGGATCATGTGACACTGAAGACTGGAGTAATGATGCTGAAAATTCAGCTTTGCATCACAGAAATAAATTACACCTTAAATTATAATACAATAGAAAACAGTTATTTTAAATTGCAATAATATTTCAAAATTGTTCTATTTTTAGCATGTTTTTGATTAAATAAATGCATCCTTTGTGAGCATGAGAGACTTTTTCAACAACAATATGCAATACTAAAAACCACATTAACCTAGAAAAATAGATATGAGACAAGATCGATTGATTGTTTCCAAAATCCCACAGTGTTTTTCCTACAGTATACAGTGTTTCTTTTAGTGGGCTAAACTGAGAAACCAAAACATCTTGAGAAGCCATACTTCAGATGGTGATAATGATAAAAGGTTGTGGATAAAGAGGTTGTCTAGCTCCTCCATGAAAACACTGATATCTAGAAAGAGGGGGTTTGATGATTGCTGAATGTCTGTGGTTCGCCTGCACCTCTGTTATTCAAACCAGTCTGATCTGGTCTGGCATCTACACAGCAAGAGAGTGTGTGTGTGTGTGAGAGAGGAATGCTGAAACTATAGTCTGCGTCAGATGCCACAGGGTCACTGTACTCCCCTAACCCTGCCGTTCAGAGCCCTACAGCCTACACACTTACTCACAGAGTCATCAGCGGGGAGATTTTCAGACAGACACTCTTAACATGCAGCGTTAGCGAGATAGTCTCACTCTCTTCGTCGTGAGAAACAGAGATGTTTAGAAAGAGTAGAAAGAATGTGTGGTTTTGAGGGACGTCACTGGAGAAAAAAAATCAAGATATCGCTCTTTCATCTCAGGAGACTTGTATAGTTTTTTCATGCTAGTGTTTAAGATGTTTCTCTTAAATGAGCTCAGAAAAAAATAACATTAGATACAACTGAGTTGGATTGTCACCAGCATATACTTAAGAAAAATGATACGTTGGAAAAGCAAAATACTCTAATTTGTTACAGTCAATTTATTAGTTTTTCGTAAATTTTATTTATGGTTTGGTTCAAACCTTTAATTTTGATGTAATATCAAAATTGTTTGTTTTTTCAAAGACAAAAGCACTCATACAAAGATTATTTATTGTAAAGACCATAATTAAGTAGTATATTTTCTTTAGACATGAGCCAAAATGTTACTTAACGTAGGTCAGTATAATACTTTTTTGCTTTTTATAACTTAATTTCACCAAATTTATATTTAGTTTAGTTCATACCTTAAATTTTTGTATTTATCAAAAATATATATTTTTCCAAAAAACCAAATCATTCATACAAAGTAAAAAGATTATTTATTATAAAGACCATAATTACGTAATATATTTTCTTTAGACATGAGCCAAAATGTTACTTAATGTAGGTCAATATAACACTTTTTTGCATTTTATAACTTAATTTCATCAAATTTATATTTAGCTTAGTTCATTCAAAAATATTTATTTTTCCGAAAACCAAATCATTCATACAAAGTAAAAAGATTATTTATTATAAAGACCATAATTACGTAATATATTTTCTTTAGACATGAGCCAAAATGTTACTTAATGTAGGTCAATATAACACTTTTTTGCATTTTATAACTTAATTTCATCAAATTTATATTTAGCTTAGTTCATTCAAAAATATTTATTTTTCCGAAAACCAAATCATTCATACAAAGTAAAAAGATTATTTATTATAAAGACCATAATTCCATAATATACTTTAGGCATAAGCCAAAATGTTACTTAATATAGGCCAATATAATACTTTTTTTTTGGTGTGCTTTTTATAACTTAATTTCACCATAACCGAATGCTAAATTACCTATAACATGAAAGTAGAATTTTTACTTAAGATAAAACTAAAAACATTTTGTTAGTCAATGTTTAATAAATAAAGGCAACTTTAAAATACCTTATGTTTATTGTGATGTCTTTTTTTAAATATGCATCATATTTTCTGTTATGTACTAACAAAAAAAATGCACGATAATTTCTACAGTCAATAAAGCTAGCAAATATGTTCAAGAGAAAACACTATTTAAACAAAATTGTTCTTTAGCAATTTAATTTTCTACGGGGAGTTTTATTTGCTTTTAGACAAACTGAACAAAACAAGTTTAATCTTTTTCATTTAATTTTGCCATTTCATCTTGTTTCGGTGCATATTTAGTTATCATATTCCCATCAAACTGCTTAACTTGCATAACCAGTAAGACTATGTCAGCCAGCTTTTCCAGAAAGACCATGGCTGTGCTGGTCCAGCTATACAGTACCAACATAAACCAGCCTGGACCATCAATCTAAGCTTTTCTTTTCATCAGGGAATACTTAGCTGTAGCATAAACTGTTGAACTTGACAGAAAGGTTCTTGTAGGTGACTTTCACTAACATTGAACTTCATTTTGCTGACTTGAACTCACTCAGTGAGTCTGTAAAGTCATGGTATCTGTTGTGAATTGAGTGTGCGAGTGCTGAAATGAACAATCACGGGACGAAACCTTTCCCCCTGTAGATAAACAGAATGAACTGGAGATCCCATCGCCCACTCCAAAATCGCGGGACAGAAAGAGGAGGCAGCAGCAGCTGATGACTCAGATCAGCGGGGTGAGGAAGGTCACGCACGGCCCTGGTTTGCCCAGCAGCTGCAGTACGGCCCGCTTCGGCGTGAAAACAGATTTGGAGGACTTGCTCTCAAAGGTATAGTCGTATGTTACAGACCACCTGTTGCATGAAAATTGTGCACTTTTGTTGAGTTTGTACCATAATTGGACATATATCCTCTCTTGCCTTTTGTAGGACTTGGAGGACATTAACAAGTGGGGTCTGAACATCTTTAAAGTTTCAGAGCACTCTCACCATCGGCCGCTGACCTGCATCATGTACGCCATCTTTCAGGTTAGTGCGCAAAACTAAAATCCCATCTCACATGTCCAGAGATGTGTTTTTAAAAATTAAATGCAACTAAAGCATTTTTTTTCTGTAGGAGAGAGATTTAATGAAGACATTTAGGATCCCAGTGGAGACCTTTGTAACATACATGATGACCCTTGAAGATCACTACCACGCAGACGTAGCCTATCACAACAGTCTACACGCGGCTGATGTGGCCCAGTCCACACACATCCTGCTTTCCACACCTGCACTGGATGTAAGAAACTCCTTTATGTGACCCTGGAGCACAAAACCAGTCATAAGGGTCAATTTTTCAAAAAATCTGTATTATACATCATCATCATTTGAAAATCTGGAATCTGAGGGTGCAAAAAAATCTAAATATTGAGAAAATCGCCTTTAAAGTTGTGCAAATGAAGTTCTTAGCAATGCATATTACTAATCAAAAATTAAGTTTTGATATTTACAAAATATCTTCATGGAACATGATCTTTACTTAATATCCTAATGATTTTTGGCATAAAAGAAAAATCTGTAATTTTGACCCATACAATGTATTTTTGGCTATTGCTACAAATATACCCCAGCGACTTAACACTGCTTTTGTGCTCCAGGGTCACATATGTCTTATAAATGTAGTTATAATGTAGTAAAGCTTTATTTATATAGCACCTTTTTAAACAGTTTGCAAAGTGTTTTTAAAAAACACATATTTATGAAAACAAAATTAGAAAGTAAAATAGAAATAAAAAATGTTTCACAACTGCATATAACAAAATAAGAGAATAAATGAAAAAATCAAATTCAAATGCTTAACAAAATAAGAGAATTCAATTTAAATGTATAAAAATGAGATCAAATTTAAATAAGCAAAAAAATTAAATGCATAAACAAAACAACAGAATAAAATAGATATAAATTAAATGTTTTTAATTTAAATGAAAGTGAAAATAGGAGAATAAAGTAGAAATAAAAGAATTTAAAATTAAAATACAAGATAAGAGATTAAAATACAAATAAATGAAAAAATGAAAATGCATAAAAATAAGAGAATAGAATTTAAATAACAAAACAATGTATAAACAAAATAATAGAACATGGTTATAAACCAAAAAAATGTATACAAAACAAAATAAGAGAATAAAACAGAAACATGTTTTTAATTAAATGCTGTTTCCTTCCACATTTCCACAGTCATAGCTGTTTCTGAACCCTTTGAACTGATTTTTCTGACGCATGATCCCTCTAATCTCTAAACAGCGTTCAGTGTTTTGTCTGCAACTCATTTTTGCGTTGTCTTCTTTTAACGCAAAAAATAAACTTGAAAAGACAAGCTGGTTTTATCTGCTAAATATTTAGTTTCAGTGGCAAAAAGAGTCAACTGTTGTGTTACAATGCTTAAACTGTGTGCAACATGCTTTACTCAGTTCAATGCATTGGGGAAAGTTGATCTTTCTCTATTATTATCCACAGGAGGTCTTTACAGACCTGGAGGTCCTTGCCGCTATCTTTGCAGCAGCCATCCATGACGTGGACCACCCAGGGGTCTCAAACCAGTTCCTAATTAATACCAGTGAGTGTGTTTTTATCGACATACTGAAGACTATGTATGTTTATGGATCCAAACTGTTGCAGTTATTGAAACGCAAACCATATGATAGAACAAAGCCTCAATGTTATGACTGTTTCATGTCTCTCATAAACATCATTGCTGTCTTTACTGCAGACTCCGAGCTGGCGCTCATGTACAATGATGAGTCTGTTCTGGAGAACCATCACCTAGCGGTTGGTTTCAAGCTCTTGCAAGGGGAAAACTGTGATATCTTCCAAAACCTCTCCAAGAAGCAGCGACAGACTCTCAGGAAAATGGTCATTGATATGGTAGGCATCTTTACGCTTTTAGTGTTCACACAACTCACACAGAAGTTACTTTCAAACCAAGCAGCTTTCTGTTGGTCAAAGTGGCAAATTCGAACACGAGAAAAATCTGTGTGGGCAACTTATTCACCCTCACACGAATCTCCCAATTATGCGTATTTGAAATTTCGTTGAGTAGGAGTGTTTGTTTCAAAATCTGAAGCATTTTCTCACATAGTTTGGTTCATTGACTGTAGGCATAGATCAACATAGCAATTGTGCTCGAATTCATACCAAAATAATTGGTCTGAGATTGCCTGAACTCTGGAGAGGACTGTTTGTGCTGAAAAATGCTGCTTAGGCTTACTGGAAATACGCAGCTCTACCTAAATTTCTGCAAAACTCAATAAACGTACCTATACTTACGAATCGCTGGAGTTTCCAGTTGAAATAAACACTAGAGGCAGTAAAACGCAGACAACTTTTATTCATTTTCACACAAATTATGATTTACAGAGCCAAAGTTTTGTTTCAGAAAGCCTAATTTTTCGCACAATTCCTTGCACAATATTATGTTATGACTTCAAAACAATTTTAACATGCTGCGAGACTTGAAAACTGATACTTTTGAATGTTAGCATCACATATACAGCTTCATATGTATGGGTTTTCAAATGCACTTGTGAGGTGAACCACTCCGGTACGAATCCTGTGAAACTATGGTTTGACAAAACTATGGAAGCCCGTTTCCGCCACTGAATAAAAAATCAAACAAGGTAATTGCGACTTTTTATCTCGCAATTCTGACTTTTTTTTTCTGAGTTCATATCTTGCAATTCGGACTTTATAACACACAATTGCGAGTTATAAAATCAAAATTTCGAGTTATAAAGTCAGAATTACGAGTATATATAAACTCGCAATTCTGACATAAGTCGCAATTGTGAGAAATAAAGTCAGAATTGCGAAATTGTAAAATCAGTGCCCAGTGGAGATAAAAGTCACAATTCTGAGGTTTTTTTTCTCACAATTGCGAGTTAGTCAAAATTGCGAGTTATAAAGTCAGAATTGCAAGTTTATATCTCGCAATTCTGACTTTATAACTCGCAATTTTGACTTTATAAATCACAATTGTGAGTTTTTATCATGCAATTCTGACTTTATAACTTGCAAAAAAAAAAAGTCAGAATTGCGAGTTTATGTCACACAATTCTGAGAAAAAAAGTCAGAATTATGAGATAAAAAGTCGCAATTACATTGTTTTATTTTTTATTCAGTGGCGGAAACGGGCTTCCATACAAAACAGCTCAAACTCGTGTAGAAGGAAGTTAATATATGAATGCATTTTTATATCACTTTTTCTTTTATTAACACTATCAGATAGGTTTAGGGTTTGGTTTGGTGTATGGGGCATGTTATTTTCCAACATGATAGAGAATGACCTTTTAGCAGCACTTCCCAGACATTTGAAATCTGAACCCCCGCAATACATGCCTGTACCAATGTAATGAAAACGTGGCCACGGTCACATATATGCGTAAACAGACCATAAAAGCCAAAAATCTACAGAAAGCAAATGATCTACAGCACCCTAAGTTTCCAAATCTTTCCATAGGTACTAGCAACAGACATGTCCAAGCACATGAGCTTACTGGCTGACTTGAAGACAATGGTCGAGACCAAGAAGGTGACCAGTTCAGGAGAGTTGCTTCTTGATAACTATACAGACAGGATACAGGTGAGTGCTGGCTTGTGTCCTCAACAACATATGTTTCTTCACTACTTGTTCCTCAAGTCAATATCATTCAATGTCCTGTCTCACAATGTCCACAGGTCTTACGAAATATGGTTCACTGTGCCGATCTCAGCAATCCCACCAAGCCATTAGATCTGTACCGGCAATGGACGGACCGCATTATGGAAGAGTTCTTTCACCAGGGTGACCGAGAGAGAGAGCGAGGCATGGAGATCAGCCCGATGTGTGACAAACATACCGCTTCAGTGGAGAAGTCTCAGGTGGGAGTCCAAAGGATCCTTCACATTTAAGTCATTCCTTGTGGAACAAGAAGTACACTTTAGCATACTTTAGTGTACTTACGGAAATAAAATACTTTAAAGGAGTATACTTAAGTGTAAAATGAATGTAATGTTTTCGAACACTTAATTGCATGGTATTTGTCAATTCAAATATATTAGAATTTATAGCTTTAAATGTATAACTTAAAAGTGTTTTTTGACCCACTTAAGTAGAACTTAAGTATATCTTAATATGCAATTTCAAAATTCTGAAACCCTTGAAATATGGTTTAAGTGTACTGCTGAATGTATTGACAAGCATTTATGGTAAAATAAAATTTACTTTAATATCATTTCTATTTAAACTTGTATGTCAGGTAGTTAAATGTATTTGCAATTACACATTTGTAATAATGAAGTTGCAATTTAGTACATTTAACTAGTTAAATGTTTAATTAAAATACTTCTTTAGTGTGTCAGTCAACAAATCAAAATAAGTGTACTTCTCTAAAACATGAAAAAGATTAATAAAACAATGATTTAAAATGCACTTTAAAGTAAAACTTTACTTTAAACGTTTTCTTTTTACAAGCATACTTAAGTGTGTAAAGGAACAGTGGCCTTATTTTATCTGCAGGCGCATTGTTTTTAAATATATACTTTTTAAGAATTTAAAATTGTTCAAAAATATACTTCAAATTTGAAGCACACTACAGGTGCACATGTAATGCAATTAAGTGCACTGTTTAGTTTACAAAGGATTGGTCAAGTCGAGCAGTTTCTAGAAGGAACTTACCATGTGGTTTTTTGTTTTCCTTTTAGGTTGGTTTTATTGATTACATCGTGCATCCACTATGGGAGACCTGGGCGGACCTGGTGCATCCAGATGCGCAGGATATCTTGGACACTTTAGAAGAGAACAGGAACTGGTACCACAGCATGATACCACAGAGTCCCTCCCCTCCCTTCTTTGAAAAGGGAACTGATGGGGGAGACAAGTTTCAGTTCGAGTTGGAGGTTGAGGAAGCCAAGCAGGATACCGAGAACCTGTTAGAAACAGACTGTGTAGAGATAGTGACGCATTCGCCTTCATCCGTCGAGACGTAGCACCTCACTACAATGGCTGTCATGTTGGCCAAATTTGATGACCGAGCAAAGTGGAGGAACGTTATTCTCCTGCTACCTGAGAATCCCTCAGAATACCACTGTGTTTTTGGGACTCTGCCGTTGTTTCAGAGCCAAAACAGGGAGTGAGCCTACACAATCTAGTTGGAATTTGCAAGAATCCATTCAAGTTGGACATTGCCAGAATGGACAGACGGGCAGCCGTACCAAAAGTGCCATAAACTGGATTTTCTTAATCAGACATTACAGTCTGATCTGAATGTTGGAGTGGGTTTCTGTGAAGGAGAAATGCTGACCCTCTTATAAGAGGGGTTTGTACTACATTGTCAAAGTGACTTTTTTTGTAAAAAGAACAACAACAAAAAAAAATAAAGCCCTATTCATTTCTCTTTATGTGTTTCATTTCTTAGAATCTAATCTTTTAAAATTCACAGAAGAAAGTCAACAATAAACCTCAATTACACAATCACTGATGTCAAACAATGTGGTTCCTCCTGATGTACTGTATGTTCTCACTGGTCAGGAACGGGATGTGGCGAACGTGCACAATATGTGTAATAATATGCACTTTTGCTTACCATTTGTGGTAATGCATTTTATGTGTTAATGCATTTAATAATGGAGGGCTATTATTCACAGAAGCTTGACCCAAGTCGAAATTACGATTACGATATAAAGCTGTACCTGCAAAACTTTTGCCTTTTTTACTCATGTTTGTCATTGTGAAGCCAATGATGAACATGCACACTCTAGAACAACTGTGATTTCACTGGTGGAATCACTGCAATCTCTATTATTATTATATTTATTACTATTATATACTATCATTTTTTTAGTATTAAACCTCTGTTAAAGTTGAGTTGCACATTTCCTATTTGTCAAAAAAAAAAGAGATAAAACAGAGAAATAAATGAAAATGTTTTGGTCTGTAATTGTTGCTGTATTTCTTATGCATACTCTAGGGTCAGATATAGAATTTTATTTTTCATGGTAACAGTCCTGCACATACTACAAACCATATGTGGTATGTAACAGTGCGCCAACAGCATATAATTATGCAATCAGGTAATTTTGCTTTAGTAGTTCATTCAGATAAGTGTTTTCCACCTGGCTGTGAGATACAATGTTTGAGCTATCAGGCTCTGTTAATATATAATTGTTTATGTATTTTGGATTTTTGTTAATATGTGTTCATTCAAAACTAGCAGTGGCTTAAAAACTCCTTGGAACAAAAGTATCAAAAGTGTATTTGCCCCTAAAACAAAACGAAATCCAAGGGATTAAGGCACACTAATGGCACACTATTGCATTAAAGGGGTCATATGATGCGATTTCAGTTTTTCCTTTCTCTTTGGAGTGTTACAAGCTCTTGGTGCATAAAGAAGATCTGTAAAGTTGCAAAGACTAAAGTCTCAAATCCAAAGAGATATTCTTTATAAAAGTTAAGAGTCAGCCACGCCTACCTAAAACGGCTCGTTCTAACACACCCCCACATGTCTACATCACTATGTGGGAAGATTTGCATAACGCCGCCCAAATGTTCACGCTTAACTTTTATTCTTGCTGTAGTATTGTTGCCGTAGCCGCCATGTCGTGAAGGCACTGTGTGATTCGTTGTAAAAGTGAAACTACTTTGTTTGGTCTTCCAAAAGAGGACGATATCCGCTTCGTCATGCCTGGAGCTGATCTGTGCTGGTCGCTGAGGAAATACATCAACTTCGCACGGTGGATCGCCGACAACAATAATGTACAGTATGTGGAAAAT